GGGTTTTGAGAAGTTGTGGCTAGGCATTGAATGTTGAAAGTAAAACTTGAATGTTCTGTTGTAGCTTATTTGGTTAAACATAATAAACATCAATTTTATTTTTGTTACTAACTTTTGTGTATGTTCTTTTTTGGTGGGGGGGGGGGGCAGGGGGAAGAACCTGGTCCTGGTTGACACCCGGCCCCGGCCAAAGCTTAGTGACTGGGTACCCGGACCCGGTATTCGGCCAAATTTTACTACCTGTGCATCCCAAGTAGAAATGTATATATAGGTATATTTTCCAAATTCTGCAGAAAGTTATGACACTTTTTTAACCTATTAATAACATAGTAGAACTCATTATGTGTAACTTGTGGTGTTGCTTGATATCATTAACTTTTGTTTTTGACAAATTGTTGGCCTAAGTACAAGACATGGAATTTTATATATTTTGAATTATTTGCTTAAATTAAATGGATATATTTTGGAATATAATGAAATAATATATAAAACATTTTAAAAAAGCAAAAAGTAAGAAAATTTCTGAAACTAACTCAAGTAGACTAATTGATTCCTGAGTAGTAAAAAATAAACAAGCAAACAAAAATATACAAGATGTAGCTGAATATGAATAACAAAACTAACAATAATTAAGAAGGTATTTAAAATAATAAAAGAATACTCGCATAATATCTCAATGTGGAAAGGATCTCAAAATACAGCTTATCTGAATTTTTTATGCAGCAAAATTATGGGGGGTGTGTTTTAAAAACTTAATGACCTGGTAAGGTTGTGCTGTATAAAAATAAAAGCAAGACCATTAAGGCTTTCTTGTCTGATTTTTCATCTTTGTATGCTTTTGATTTTCTTCATTTTGATGAAAAAATCTTTTGGCTGCAGAAACAGTGGGTGGATATGATGCCTAAAATCCACATAGTCACAGTTACATTATGAAAAAGACATTCTAACTTAAGCTCTCAAAGATTATTAAACAGCTCTAGTGGTTTTATAGATGTACTTCCAAAATTTACCTTATAAATTGCGTTCATATTTTACTTCATTGATGATGACCATGGATATATCATTGTCATATTCTCTGCAAAAAGCTGAACATGAATATCAATGAATTTTAAAAATAATCACAAAAAGGTAAATAAATTACTGATGTTTTTGACTATGACAAACTACGATGTTAACCCCCCAATTAAACAGTTAACAAGCCTGGAAAATACTGTTACGTCTCTGTATGTTTGCTTGTTAATTCTTACAAGATACAAGTCCTTTCTTTATAAAACTTGTTTATTCTTCCTCAGTACAACTTTGTAATGTACTTAATTTTCACAGTTACACACACTATAGTTCACAACAATTCACTCACTTTCTATCGCGCTTAGACTTAATTGTCCGTCCCCGCAAACTATACTTCCGATCTCTGTGTCTGCTATCCTCAGTTCCCGCCGACCGTAACCGCTGTCTTTTTTTCTCTCTGCCTGCTTCGTCTCCGCTACGTCTCTGTCTTTGTCTCCACTACTGCTTCGACTCCGTCTGTCTCTCTCACTGTCTAGTTCCGATCTCTGTGTCTGCTATCCTCAGTTCCCACTGACCGTAACTGCTGTCTTTTTTTCTCTCTGCCTGCTACATCTCTGTCTTTGTCTCCACTATTGCTTTGACTCCGTCTGTCTCTCTCACTGTCTAGCGCACTTATATACGATAATACTGCCTGTTCTAGAAACTTCTAAGACTCTCAACACATGCTACCAGCGTCGCTTGACGCAACGCTGTCGCAACACACTAGCGAATCTTCTAGAATAATCGTCACATGACCCCGCTGTCATAACACTCTAGCGAATCTTCTAGAATAATCGTCACATGACCCCCCACTGTCGTAACAATACATTTACCTTGTACTTCTGGTGTTTCATCATAAAAATATTTTCTATGTGTGCTTTTTAGGAGATTTTCAGTTTTGGTTAGCAGGTCTGATACCACGGCTGTGGCTTTTTGATTAGTTTCTGATAAGGAGTTTCCCACTGATCTCATAACTCTTTACAAATTACCAATGTTTTGTATTTTTACATCAAGAATTGCCTTTCTTGATTGAAGAACCTTATTGCATTGAACTATGGTAACCAATATTTTGAGCTATATTGTTGCCACCAAAATGCATTTGAATGACTGTATATTGTATTGAAATCCCTTTAACTCTGTTTTGCTCTCAGAATACAAATTTAGTTCCTCGCACTTAATAATTGCATGTTTTATTAGTGGCAAATGGTTTAACACTTTTCATGCAAGTTGACCATTTAGTCTTCTAAAAATTGTGCAATGAGTATCTGATCTATGCTTGCAATATCTCCCATCAATGAGGGTTAGAAGCAAAAAATTGTAGATTTTTTTGTGTGATTCTAAAAACAGTGATCACATAATTATAGCATTGAGCAGCATTTGAGCTACACAAATTTAAACTATGATCTCCACAAGTTGAAAAATTGGCAAGAGGACTGACTTTAGTACTAATGACTTGAGCATCTTTATACTTGCCA